GTCTCCAGAAATGTCTTTCAGTTACTCCTGGGTGATTCCTCGCCATTCCCAGGCCTCCAGAGAGCCCCACGCCCAGCCAGGACCCCCGATAGGCCTCCAAAGCAGGGCTTTCCTAGCTTTATTAATCAGTTTTACACTCAAACAAACGAGAGAACACATCAGAAATGAGAGGTTAATTAAGTAACAATCAGCTGAGAATGACAGCCCAGTGAGCATCAAGGACAAACCTCAGAGGTCAGATATTTATTTATCCACAGGTCATCACGTGTAAAATAGATTTCATCATATTCTGTTTTTGAGCCAGGCTTCTGTTTGCTGCAGTGTGTTTTGTTAGAATGTTAGAATAAAATGTTAGAATGGCGAATGTTGCATTAACATGAGATTTATCACTTTTTTCCAACAGCAAGTTACGTCCTCAAAGCTAAACATGGTTAGCATCTGTTTTATTCCATAACAGAAGTTTATCTCAGTTTTGGTTTTTGTCGTCAGTCAGCGATTGAAAGAGGCCACGTTTGTGACACTACAGCAGATAAATGTGACTTCCTGTGCATGTGATGTTCACCTATTCAGCAGTTAACTCTTCCTGTTCTCCAGGAATACAACCGGGATACAACCAGCTGCCGAGCCGAGTCCCCTTGAGTTGTGCTCGGTGACAGAGCCTCATGTCTGTCTGCAGATGGTTCCCTTCTGTCAGGCGACCTGTGCGATCCCAGTGATTCATCGAGTAATTCCAATTATTTGATTATAAAAAATTCTCTTTGCGTTTAAGCCGTTTTATTAAAACGAGCGTTTCTCCCACATCTGCTAAAAGCAGACCTGCAGGAGAAACATTTTTATGAAACACTGAGAACACAACAGCAGCAGGGACGATGGCGCTGGCACAGTTTAACGTGGGGGCGGAGACTGTTTACACACCGCGTACTGTCACGCTGCGTTGAGGCTGAGTGAAAGAAAACAGCAGCGCTGTTGCTGTGATTAAAACCTAGAGCTGGGCGATATGAGATTTTTTTTATATCACGATATGTTTTTTTCATTTCAGGCGATAACGATATATATCACAATATAAGTCAAATAACTATATTTGTAAGATTTAAATGTGCCGTTGCTCACAAGTAAAATGTGAAATAATCAGCAGCTTGTTTTGATTTAAATATTTATTTCCCATAATAAGTTCAACAGGGTAGATGTACTTAAGGAGACTTTTTCAGATAAATAAAGACAAATATTGCAAACTACACAAAAGGCAGCCGCTAAAGCTTTAAGTTTCAAAACAGAACAAACAAAACTACTAAACTGTCAATTCCACTTAGAAACAAAATATTAATTCTAAAAATAAATCTTAGTTTGTTTTACAGAAGAACAGACAGAATTGACTAACTTTTGTCAACATCAAATAAACTGAGAACTAAAAGGAAATTCTCGATCTCTCCTTGTTGTATAGCTGAGCTTTTCAAACAGTTTAACAGTTACTTTAGTCTGACAGAAGCCGAATGACGAATTAGCGCTTCCAGTCAGAGACTGAGCATGCACCGCTTTATTGTATCTCCAGACTTGCTTTCAGCACATTTACAGCGCGCTACTCTGTTTTTGTCAGACTTGAAACAGCAGAAATACCGTCACACTACAGAACTTCTGTGGCTCTTCCGTTCAATAATCTCTCCGGCGTTGGAACCATCATCTGTTTTCTCTTCGGTAACCTTCGCTCACGCTCTCGGTTGGTTTTTCTCTAGTCAGCACTCATTTCCTCCATTACTCGGCGGCACGGCGGCTGGCTGCTTCCCAAACAAATACACATGTGCAGCTTGGCTCTTGTGCTGTACGTAACAAGTCACGTGACGTGACGCTGCGGCTGTGATTGGTTTGGCTCTGCACTACTTAATTTGGATTGGCTGTTCTTCTTTTTTTTAAGAGACCAAGAGCGGTGAGGCCTATCGCAATAGTTTAACTTTTCTATCAAGAAAAAGTTATTTCACAATACACATCGTTATCGTTCTATCGCCCAGCTTTATTAAAACCTTTACTGTGGAAACGTGAAAGCTTTTAAGTTTAAGCTTGATGAAGGCTGACGGCAGGCTTTTACAGAGAGGCAAACAGGGGTGAGTCTAAAGGTGGGCGTGGGGTGCCCGGCTGCTGTAACAGCAGCATAAACTTCACTAAAGTCAGAAAGCCAAGAAGACGGTACAGGTCAGTTTTTATGCCATAGTTTTGACTGCATATTTGTTTTATTTTATTTGACCTTTGACTCTACTAAACGTTATTTATATATTTTTGCATTTAAGAAAATGTTTTTAATATGGTGCATAAATACAAAGGTTTAGTGGTTGTTTTGACAGATAAAACATGGTTTTGGGTGTTTATTATTGTTTATTAATAAGACAAAAGCATTTCTCTTCCAGTTAAGTGATCGATGGTTGAATGTTTGTCAAACTGAGACTCTGTTTCTGTTTTATAGTAATATGTGACATTTGCAAAATAATCACTTGGTAAAGTTTGAACTGAGTCATGGATGGAGGAGCGTCTGACGGCGCCGGCCTCGGTCGTGGTGTGTTCGGCTCGGTGTTGCTGGTGTGTTTTCTCAGAGCAGTTGAATCATTAGCAGCAGGATTATGTCCACAGCTCCTGTCTGTCCATCTGCCTCCTCGGTTAGTGTGCTTCGTAGCACTGCTGCCAGACGGGTTAAAGGTTAACCAGTGTGTAAAGTAGAGTCACAGAAGTGTGAATCCCAGGAGTTTCTCTAAATGCTGCAGTTAGATTTTGAACTAAACGTGAGCTCCGTCTGTGCGGCCATCCACACAAACCTCAGACACATCACTCTGCTTTCTGTTGGTTTCTTGTCCTCGTGGACGACTTTTGAATCAGATCTTTGTGAACTTGTGGAAATCCCAGTCAGGCCTTAATCTGGATGAATTTCACAACGTGTTTGTTTTGGTGTTATCCTGCGGACGCACAGACGCTCGGTGGTGGGTGGAAACGCTGCTTTGAAGGGTGGATGTTTCTCTGTGTGTGTGCTCTTGCAGGTGGGGGTGATAATAAGACGAGAGTTCTATTTCCTGAATGCAGGTAGCAGCTGTGCCTGGAAAAGGAAGGTTTTATCACAGTGTTTATCAGGAGATACTGTGATATTCATAGTATGTGGTATTATTATTATTATTATTATTATTATTATTAGAATAAATAACATTTTAATGCCTTCATGGAAAATGTAATCATAAACACCCACAGAACCAGAACAAAACTAATCTACTGTTGGGCCTTTTTACAAATAATTATTAAGAATAAGGAAACACGCGTCACGGAGTCGGGACTGAATCTCATGCAGCTCTGAAACGAACTGCATTTGGACAATTTAGTGTGCAGGTAAAAACACCTGTGAGCAACAGGTGAGACATGCAGTTAAACTCCGAGCATCCTCAGGTGAAGCTCAGCTGAGGAAGCAAGGTGGAGCTCGTTTCGTTCCTCTTTGATTTTGTCCTCAGATGGGTGTAGATGAAGTAACTTTTACTCTTTGATTCTTCACGATGCTGCAAGATTTAAAACACTCTGGAGTTCACCTGTCTGTGTGGAGGCTGGTGGTGAGCAGAGGCTTTAATAATTGGACGCTTCATGTCATGAATCATCTGCACGTTTTTCTTTAAATGATTAATTTAAATTATCTGTGTAAGTTTGGACCACACTGATTTAAAAGCAGAAGAGTTTCCATTAACAGTTTTTTACCTGCAGGTGTGCAGCTGTTCATTTTACTCAATAACTGTATAATAAGATTAACCTTTGTAAAGACTGCTCGCCCTGCAGCATCCTGTAGGATCACTGCAGAATCTGTTTAACGATCTTTGACCTTTAGAGGCTGCACGCAGGGCGACGGTGCGCAGGCTGCCGTGCAAAAACAAGGTGGAGCAGACCCACAGCTGTGAAGCTGTTTGTGCAGTTTGTTTCTTGAACGATGGTGTAATTAGGCAGGATGAGTGTTAATCAACAGGCTACCAGGGAAACGGTCGCTCTGCTGGACTTGTTTTCCTGGGTCGTCTGCAGTGTGCCGCCCTCCTTCCTCCTGCGGGAACGACTTCCTGTTTTCGTAAACGGTGCTGGGACTTGAAAAATCAGCTGCGGCAGCGGAACGGTATCGTGGGCGTTCACGTCACGGATATTTCAGTGACTAATAAAACAAGAGCGCTTCAGCCCGCCTCCTCTCCTCAGCCTCAGGGTGGAGTTGGTGGGGCTTTAGGATGTTAACATTGCACCGCCTCCTCCCCACATCTGCTCCCGCTGCTTTGCATTGTCAGAAGGTCAGGGGTCAACGAGCTCCTGTCCTGTGATCAGTGGCCTGCAGGAGGCTTTAGAGCAGGAGGTGTGCATGTTCTCCCTCAGCGCGCCGTTATCCTGACGAGTAATCGTCTTCGTGAAGTAACAGAACTGACAGCAAACAGGAAGTGGCAGCCTGCAGTGGTGCTGAGATGCTCTGTGGACCACAGATGAACCTGAGACTCAGATCCTGAATAAAACATTTAGTTTTAGTTCATGTTTTCAGCTACATCTCTTTAAGATGATTAAGATTCATTCTTGCACCTTTTTTCCCTCGTTGTGAATCAGGTGCGCCTCCTTATTGTGGGATCTAAGCCGGGGCATTGTCCTCGCTGTCACTCAGGGCCTTTGTTTCGCAACCTCATGATTCCTACCAACCAGCGAGCGTGCAGACGGGTTCAGGCTTTTTGTGCTGGTGTAAATCGCTGTGAAAGCGCAGACTCCCTCGTTGGAGGCTGAAAAAATCCAGACTTGACATCTGACGGTTTGGTTTCCGACTAAACGTCTTCCTAACATGTGCCTTTGTTCCCCAGCCTGAACAGTGAAACTGGGAGGAGCAACTCAAAATGTAAAGTGGTTCTCTTCCTGGCCTTCGATCACAGTGTTGTCATCAAGTTAAAAATAACTTCTGAATGTCTCAGGAGGCGGGGCTAAGCTAATCTAACCTGCTCTTTTCTGGTTTGTCTCACCTGTCCTTGCAGGAGGCGATGCGGGGAGCCGGGTGGAGGCGTGGGGTCCGGCCCTGAGGAGGTGTCCTGCGGCTGGGAGGAGCGCGGCCCTCCTGCAGCCCTCCTGTGGCGCTCCGGGACGCTCCTACTAAGATGTCCCTCAGCAGCGGCCCTGCAGGCGGGAAAGGTGTGGACTCCAACGCGGTGGACACGTACGACAGCGGTGATGAGTGGGATATCGGTGTTGGCAATCTGATCATTGACCTGGACGCCGACTTAGAGAAGGACAAGCTAGAGATGTCGAGCAGCAAGGAGGGAGGGGGCATGGCGGCCCCTCCCAGCGCCGTGGCAGCTTTACCTGACAATATAAAGTTCGTTAGCCCTGCGTCCGCCACGGCGGGCAAAGAGAGCAAATCCAAATCCAAGCGCAGTAAAAACTCTAAGGAGAGCGTGAAGACGCCGCACTCAGACGGAGCTAAAAAAGAGGTTCAGGGCCGGGTCCCCGGGGACCTGCCGCCCCAGAACGCCAACTCGGCCCCGAGCAAGGGGACGGACAAGTCAAGTAAGCCCTCCCGCATCCTCCCCGTGGTGAAAAAGGACAAGGACGGGGTGTCTGGGAAAAGCAAGAAGGAGAAAATGGAGGCGGGAGCGGCGAACGCTGAGAAAGAGTCCTCGGTGCTGCCGTTAGGAGCGCCGCGAGGCGGACCCTTTGAGGGCCAACAGGCCCCCGAGCTCGCTACGGCCGAGCAGCTCGGGAACACGCCGCTGGACTCAGCCGGGATAGGCCAGGCCATGACGACGGAGCAGGAGGAGGTGGATGGGGGCGACTGCCGAAATCTGAAGAAAGCGATCGGTGGGGAAAAGGTAAGAAAGCCGACGCCTGAACAAACGTTTCTGATCGTGTCTCCTTGTTGATGGAGCCGCGTGCTGAGTGGAAGCTGCTCGCTGAACATGTATGTGAGCGCCGTGCCCGGTGAGCTCCTCGTGGTCAAAGGATCTAAATGTGCTCACGTTTAGCTCTGAACAAAGAAGCAAAGCGCTCGTCACTGCTGACCCGGTCGGCGTGGACAATGCCTCCGTGTGAAGCTAAGTTAAACTTGGTCTAATCTAACCCAGTTTCTGTTTTTAGATAATCCCACTGTTAAAGCTTCTGCACTAAGAGCCATGTCGTCATTAACAAAGGAGTCTTTGGACCTCTCGGTTCTACCGCTCATCATTTGTGTTTTTCAGGGCTGATTTCAGGTAAACACACTTCTGCTTCACAGCTAACTGGACTGTTCATCAGAGGATTTAAGAATAACTTCAGGAAGCTTCAGCTTCGGGGCTGGTGTGGTTCCTTAAAAAGTCTTAAATTCATCCATTTATTGGAGTTGGTGTGGGGAGTAAACGGAGCCTGCTAATTCAAGATTAAACTGTGATTAAAGGTTGCAGTGGATTGAAGTCCTGAGTGAGCTGTTAATTCAAGATTAGATTGATCGTGTCGTACGGTCAGGGCAGCGCTTAAAGGATGGACGCCTTTACTCCGAGTCGAGAGAAATTAGATTTTTAGGTTTCCTGTTTGTAGTTTTGTTGTCTGGATGCTGGATTCAGTCTAAAAAGCACCAAATTCCCCTGAGAGGAGAAGCTGTGGGGGCTCACAGACACGATGCTTAGAGGAGGGCGATATGGCCACAAATATTTATCACCATATACATTTGAAAATTTACGCTAACGATAATTGACACGAGACAAAATACTTTACAACTCCACAACTTTATTAGTGCAAAAAAAAAAACATC